TAATTTACATGCTTCGATAAATGTTATTCCATCCAGATTATTAATGTCTATAGATTTTAATTGAGATGGACATGAAGATCTCAAATCAACAAGTGATTCTACTGTGTACCAATTTTGTATTTCACCACACTGGCAAGCCAATCGAAATCCAACATCGTCACCTTTTTTTTCTTTTGCAATAATCAAGCACGGAAGTAATTTGGCATCGGTATTTGTACGATCAACAGAATGTATTGGAATACCAACGCAATCACGTAATTTGAACTGTTCGACTAAATTATTGAGGTGTTCGTCGTACTTTTTTCTTTTTTTGTTCGCTGTATCCAAATAATTTCCTTCAGCTTGTTTACGAACTAGAGTATGTCGAGGTGAGAAAATATTAAAAACGTTATTAGTCGAAGATGGAACGTCGCAGGTAGATGGTATGGTCGATGTAGATAATACAGCTAATAAATCGGCAACTGGTATTAATGATTGACTGGTATTACGGATAGATGAAAATGGAATTGATGGTGGTTTTGATTGAAGTTCAGGAATAACATTTGACGGGACAACAATTGAAGAAAGCGGATCAATAAAAACAACTAGATCGTCGAGGAGCATTTCAGCACTTGTTTTGGATTAGTTTCAACTCTAGCTCGAAGTATAAATTCAAAGTATAAATGCATTATAATCAAAATAATCACCGTCATTCAAGTTATGCTCGCCGAAATTTCGTTAACTATCAACAACCTCCACGTCAGCGACAACCAGGCATATCATCCAGACTCTGTTACGTTGTTCACGTTCAGATCCTTCATCTTTTGGTCATACGTTGTTTCTTCATCACACCAGTTCTGCCGTACCATTTATTGTATCATTTCCTCACGCGGTTTTACATTGCTCTGTCTACTATTGTTACATATATATATGACTATAGTTTTATGTGGAGGGGAATTGAGTAGTTATCTTTTTCTGTTAAATAAACACATGAGAATTATCATCCTCACATACGATCATCGTAAAAGTTCTCCAGAAAAACGCTAGGTTACGACGAATACTAGTTATAGTTCATCATTTGACACTATTATTCATTGATTATCAATAGCTGTTTCAAGAAGATACTGACTATGAATAATAGCAGCCTTTTAACCATTTAGTCCCTCGACTCTGACATTCCAAATCGCTTCCTTAAGGAATTTACTAGCTACTGAACAGCTATTGGCTGATTTTTTAAGATCCTAAAGGAAAAAATTTCAAGAACTCCTATTCTTGTTTTAAAGTGTGCATAATATTTGAAAGTTACTGTCAAAAGTTCAGTGCATCGAAAAGCACAAAGGTTTCGATAAAAATGGCTTTTATTGTAACCACAGAAACAGACCACAGTAATGGCGGCATTTTTAGTCAACAGGTATTTTTTATGTCCATCGTTTATGGGTGGCCATAATGGGCTAATGAGAGACTCATCATGGATTCATGAACACATTGAGGTAGAAAAAGATTTTTTAAAGAAATACAATCAGCAGGATGAAAGTTTCATTAAGACATTACATAGTTAGAAGCCTCGGCTCATCGAGTTTACTGAAAATTTGGTGATCGCCACCTTCTACATTAGCTAGTAAACCTATCGGGTAAAACGTGGAGATCATCGACTAATTTGTATTTCTGTTTTATCTACATTATCTCTGACTACCATGGCCCGAAGAGAAAGCCTGAAAGTCATGGTAGTTCAGAAGAATCTCTGAAAACTCATTTGGCTTTATATTGACGTAGACACCTACTTTTCAATACGTTCAGTTGCGATATGGGCAGCCTTATAACTCAAAAAGTAAACGGTACCTTTTTCTAAAAAATAGCATGGTATAGAGTACAACTTGTGTACTACAAACTGTCAGAAAAGCTGAGGAAGGGTACTTTCAAATTTGTTAGCTTTTTAATCCTGGAAGGTGCCAGAATAAACACTAATTTCATAGTAAAGGGAATCTTTCTTTTTGATAAAACGATAAAATTTGTTCTTTTCTCGATTTCTTCTTTATATCTCTCTCTATAGTGTGCATACACTAGTCGACAATCAGCTAGGTCTGAACAGCTGAATCAGCTTTCCAGTTTTTTCAGCTCTGATTCAGATCTTATTAAAATGCACGTCCGGATTCAGGGCTGAAAATCCTGATCAGCTCATTCAGCTCTGATTCTGTTGACGGAATCAGAGCTGACTTTTCTGAAAGTGTCAATTTCAGGTTTTCCAGGTCTGAATCAGCTGTTCGAGGAAAAAGCTCCTGCAAACACCAAATTTCTTTTTCTCGACTCCGAAAAGTCAAAGTGTGTTTTTTAATGTCTTTTTATTGCATATGTGCAATAAAAAATATACTTATAAGCAAATTCAAAATATAGTTCAAAACTCTACAAACT